GTTTTCATTTGTCATTTCTTTCCACAATAGGCAGCTGTCATTTTTGCATTAGGTAATTGTTTTCATTTGTATACTTAATTATAATTTGTTTCTATATAGTACTCTCAGTTTAAAAAATTATAATTATTGTTTGTGTTTTAATAAAAATGAATTGTAATGAGTCTCAACAGTCCAAGTCAATCACAAATTCCAAATGTTTGACATGGGTTTGGCCAAGGGGTATTTTGGTCATTTCAATTAAAAATTCTATTTTTTCAAGGATTTTTTTTCTAAACACAACACTTTGACAGAACTTGAGCAAATAAATGATTTAACCAATTTTGACAAATTTTGACAAGATCTATTTTAAAATATTTATGGATCGAATGACTTGGTTCTATTATCCAAAAAATGACCTGATTTTAACCAAATTCAACCAAGTTTGATAAGTTTGATTAAGCTAATTTTTAGGTTGACCTTTGGCTTTTTTCTTGAACTTTACTACTTTTCTTGTATCAACCTAAAAATCAATTTATTCAAAAATTATGGAATTTTCATAAAGCTTGAAAAATCTTGAAAAAGATTCAGGTCACAATTTTCAAAAATTATAATTGATATTTATTCGAACTAAATTAGGTATTTATAATAATTGGATTGCAATTTCTTGACAATGAAAATAAAAAAATTACAATCCTAACACAATTCTTTATTTTATTTAAAAAAGAAAAAAATAATTATAAAAAAGCAATGAAAATAGAAAAGTTTTTAATACTTGAATACTCATAAGTTTTGAACGTATTAGATTAGGTTATATAAAATAAAATATTTAATTAATATTAATCACTAATATAGGAATGTTATGAATGATTTTAAGACTATAGGATTTATGTTATATTGCAAATATAATATAAGCTTATATATATATCTATTTAAAAAAATTATTTAGTGCGATATAAATTATGCAATTTATTATAAATTTTTAATTGATGCTTGAATTAATTTTTTTAACGAAATAATTTTATTTTTAATATCATAATTTGAATTACAATTTTAATTTATTATTACATTATTATGACTGAAAATATACGAGAACACAAACATTAATATATTTTAAGATTACATGAAAATTAATATATGTTAAAATATAAAATAAAATATAAATATTTAAAAGAAAACAAAAAATATATCAATTACACTTACAATTAAGGACAGCAATTATATAGTTTTATGAATAATAGATTTTGATGTATTTGATTTTGTTAATTTTAATTTTTTTATTATAATGATATAAACAAAATGTAATTATAATGATAGTAACATATGAAATTATAATGTCAATAACACATATTAAGATATGTAAGGACAAAATAAATACTTTTAAAAATTAAAACAAAATTTATCTCATAACGACCGGTAAACTTTTAGTCATTTTATTAAAATACAAAATAAGATTATATCAAATTAGCTTCAGTTAAATTAGATTATTAAAAATTATAAAATTATCTTAATAATAAATTTTTAAATAAATAAATTTAATTATGTGTAGCATACGTGTTTGACAACTAATATACAACAATTACCAATAGTCATGTAATTTATTAGAAAAAATATTATATTTTTAATGCAAGAATCGAAATCATGATGACTTACGAAAAGACAAATGCCTCAAACCCTTCTAACTAAGAGATCCACACCAAATTCAGGCTCAACAATTAAATTCATAAATGGAGAATGTCTATATTTTGGTGAGAGCGAGAAGGTGAAGTTTGAGAGTACGAGAGCAAGAAATATCTTGAGTTCCGCCATGGCAAAGTGCTGCGCCAAACATGAACGAGGTCTGGTGCCAAATACACATGAGGAAGCTAACATGCACCATTGATTCCATTAAGAAACCTTTCGGGGTTGAATTTGTCGACATCAGATCCCCAAATGTAGGGGTCTTTGTAAAGTGTCACCAACATCACCCAAATACTAACTCTTTTTGGCACATGTATGCCCCCAAACTTCGTGTCTTGAACTGCCTCCCGAAACAGCACGCATACAAGACGGTAAAGGCGCAATTACTCATAGATCACCATTGTTAGCTGCCATATTTTTAAGTGATTATGAAAGTGTCAAACCAATTATAAAAGATAAAGCAGGATTATGCACATTTTGTCCATCAAAATAATCTTTTATTTAGGTGATACAAATAATAATAAAAATCCCAGGATCATGATCCTAAAACTGATATTTTTCACTATGTATATGTCCAAGAGTTTCGCTTACTGTTTTCATCTTGTGCAGCATATCGGAGCTTGGCAATTGGCCTCCACAAATTTCAAGAACCTCAGCACGAATTTTATCTTGCCACTCCGGATATAAGACCAACAACATCAAGGTCCAACTTGCCGTCACGGTACCATTTTCATGGACCGGAAAACATATGTTCTTGCGGTTGTCAATAATAAAGTTGTCTATTGCATCTTGGCTTTGGAAAGCTATTTCTTTAAAACTCTGAAATTCTTTAGCCTGTTTGACTAAGAACTCAGCTAAGTTGATCATCCCTTTTCGAAAACTAATTTTGTTTTCTGAGAGATGGGATTTTCAAACTTTGTTTAACAAACTATAGACTTGTGGTTCAAGTCCAAGATTGTAAAAATATTTAATCTCTGGGTTAGACAAATTGATTCCTTCAAGCAGTTGTTCTGTTGAAGAAACTATTTGAGAATAACTCATAGGTGTCCAGTCGTTTGGATCTTGAGCAAATTGTGAGTATTTTGATTGAATCCTCATGAAAGGGGGTCGATAAAGAGGTTGTTGGTACAGTTTATCTCTTGAAGATCATACTGATTTTCTTCCAAAGCAAAGAAATCAATATCTTGTTGTTTTAGCAGATTTGTTGATAGAAGGCTTTGGAAAGCTATTTCTTTAAAACTCTGAAATTCTTTAGCCTGTTTGACTAAGAACTCAGCTAAGTTGGTCATCCCTTTTCGAAAGCTGGTTTAGCTCCTTCAACGATCATTTGTAATATGTTCTTCTCTGACACTGATTTTTCTTTCACTTCATTCAGGATTAATGTGTGGACTTCTTTCTCTAATCTCCATATTTCTCTGTTGCTCTTGGTTGGGAGTGATCTAAATTTTACAAATTCAATCATCTCAATCAGTTTAACTAGACTTCCAGTGGCTAGGAGAAAACAAAGAAAAGGGGGTCGAACCTCAGTCCAGGTCTCCCTTGCAGATAACTTTCTTACATGCAATTTCTTGAAGTTCTCTGAGCTTTGAGATAGTCTCTTTCTAATTGCTTCCAAAACATGCTCTCAAGATGACTTCTCCAGAGAAGTTTCTCAAATATTCATCAATCTTTATGTCAGCTACTCCACCTTCAGAGTCGATCTTATTATTCCATTCGTTTATTAGCGCGATTGCAGACTGTACCATTAGTTTCATCATAACCTACACACCATGGATTATTATATTTCAATGATAGGTTCAAGAACTACCAAGAAAATTGATATAAATCAGATGAAAGAGGATAAAAATTTTTAATTATAGAACTTAAAATTGATTCCACGATGAACTCAGAGCTTAGTTCAGTAGGTTTATATACCACTCTTAAAAGGTGACATCTAATGGGTCTAGGGTTTAAATTTTATCACCTGCAACCCCTTCTTATTTCTAGACTGTGGCTTCTTTGTACCAAAAACAAATTGATTCCACTGTGATTATTGGGGAAGATAAGCATTTAGGTTAAGAGATACGCAAAAAAATTTTCGACATTTGGAGCATTCCTTGACCTTGTCCATGTAGAATTCAGGAGCCAGGACTTTCCTTTGATGTGCCCAAACTGCACCATTTGCATGTAGAATTCCCTCGCCATACAGCGGATCAAGCCCTTTTTTTTTTTTTTGATAGGAAGGCCTTCCCAAGTCAAAAGAAGTGTGTGCAGTTATTTCTTTCACAACATCGGGGTGGCTCACATGCAAAACCTGTATGTTCCCCGTGGAGAATATAAATGTTGGATCTGAAAAAATTGACATAAACATTTCAGAACCTTTAAAACTTTTTGAGCAGTCAGATTGAAATTGAAGGCTAAATTATAAAGCTCATACCATACTGTTCTCTCCATTTATCAAGGAATGGTGAAACAATAGCAGAACAATTGTGGGTTATCACTTGTTTTCCTTCTTGTGCCAAATCTGATTCCTTGGATCCTGTCTTCCCCATTTCCAACATATTTACAATCAAGAATGATGGAGGAGGACCTCGAATCCCATGTTTTTGCAGCTTAGAACGGAGCCTTTCAGGCTTTAATACCAGTGAATCATACAGATATATGAGCATGCCGATCAATCCAACTAACAGGATAGTTGATGCAATCTTCACGAGCATAAACACCAACTCCATGGCGTTTAACTCTGTTTCCCCTGCTTTTCAATAATGGTTAATCATAGCTTTCATCTCTGTTTTCTTCTGTTTTTCTGTATTTTTTTTTTATTTTCATCAAGATTGGTTCAGAACGCATACTATTTCTTACTCGTTTATTAAAAAAGAACACAGTTTTTCTTATTTGTCATTGAAAATTATTTCTTCAGGTAGCTGATTATAATATCTATATGCAAATAGTCATCTGAATTAGTTAAGAACAAAAAGTATTAAAATTATCGTGTTTTCTCTCTTTCCAAACAGCTCACCATCGATTTAGAATAATAGAGCCACAAAAGTCGAAGCACTCTCTCTAAGACTCGTTATCCAAGTGAAAGGTTAGCCTGGCTCCTCCTATTTCTTCTCCAGGTCTTTATTTCACAAGAATTAGACATGCTAATTTTAAGTGCAATTTAGTATGATAGAAAAATTAATACGAACAAAAATTTTATATCAATTTAATAAAATAAAAAAAATATTTTATATATATCGAAGTGAATATAAATTATGATACGATATTTGTATTTTATACATATTTTGTATAAAATAAACAAACATAAATATATGAATTTAGAGAAATTTGAGAACCAATTGGCATAGCCATTTTATTTAAGAACAAATTGAAAGGGAATGCTAGTACTAGTAATTAGCAACATCAACGATTCCAAAATGAATTGAAACAATAAATCTGATTAAAGTGAAGTGATGTTTTTATTTCATAAAGGATCATAGGATTAAGACAATAGAAGTGGAGATACAAGTATATAATAAAAAAAAGCAACAACCCTTTTAGGGATAAACCTCAATGAGAGATCTTAAACCAAGTATAGGAGTAATTTTATAGTCACTAAAACCAGCAGCATAAAACAGCTTAGCCCATTCTTCCTCCTTCCTCTCTCTTCCAGTGACTAACACCATCATCAGCATGTCGAAGAAGAGCTGCGTTTCAATGGTGGCTTGATCATTCGCTTTCTGATTCTCTATCAATACCATGTCTATTATAATCACCTTCCCTCTCACCTTGTCATGGCTTGAAATTGCCTCCTTACATCGCTTTAGAATCGTCAAGCATTCTTCATCAGTCCAGTCGTGCAATATCCACTGTTTAATTATAATTAATAGCCTCCTTAAAAAACGGTTCATTTCAAATTGACTTTTGAGCTAGTTATATAGTTAATTTACAAATTTTCTATTTCACTCTTCTGGCACTATTAAAAAAATTAGTCTATAAATAAATGTACATAAACTTGACCGAATAATTAATCTGTTAAGTACTAAATTTAATCTACCAATTTTTTGTTATATTGGCAGTGGAAGGATTCGAATCTGAACCTGCTTTAATATATCGAAATGAAACACAAATCAATCATTGAGCTAAATGTATGATTGTCAACTACATATTTGAAGTGAATTAGTTATATTTGCACCCTAATCTTTGAACTAATGTATGCAATTGAATTAGAACTTGGAGCTTAGTCTGAATAGTTCATCTAATTTCTTAGGAGTTGAATTTCAGCAAGGGTTCGATGCCCGATGCTTGCTATTTTCCTACCCTTTCTCCTCTAAGGTTCGATATCTTTGTATAGAAAAAATGTGTCCAATGGAATTTGTTGCGATTGGAGTTAATTTATTACAAGTAAAAATACCTATGAAAGAGATAATGAGAATAAATTTAATAAAAACCTTTAGTAAAACTGCGTCTGAGGCTGGAACAGCGTCAAACATGTCCCCTCCAACATATTTCAAGTTTCCACGGCCTTCCAGACCAGCAACAACATGAGGAAGATCAAACACAGTGCACTCCAAATGTGGAAATGCTTCCGCAATGGCCTTGGCTATGGTTCCTGTGCCACCTCCAACATCCACCAGGGATTTCAATCCCTTAAAAGCCCCCTTACACTTGTCAATCAGAACGCTAGTAACCAATCGAGCATCGCTAGCCATGGCCTCATTAAAAAAATTGCAAAGCTTTGGGTCATGGCCACCATAGTCCCAAAATGTCTTCCCATGCGCAGTATCAAATGGGGTAGGATCATCATTTTGGAACCAGGTGCCTAGAAAATGCCAAGGCTTTGTTAAAATGGGATCCAACATAGCTTTCAAAAACGGTGTTACACTGAAAGGATATCCCTTGAGCAGGAGACGAGAAGCGTTGGTAAGAACATACCCTTCTTCTTCGCCATTTTTGTCAAGCTTTTGATGTGCAAAGAAGCCCGAGTGAACTAGAATGCGCATGAGCCGGTAGATGCTGCATGCTTTGGAAGTGTTGATCGTCGGTAGTGCAGCAACCAGCTCCGTAAGGGTCATGGGCTTGCCGTGGTTTTGAATGATATCGGGAATGCCTAAATCAATTGCACATTTTAGAGACATGGAGTTTATGAAGTTGAAAATGTGGTTCCATACGTGAGCTTGAGCTTGAAGCAGCTCATTAACATGCTCTCCATTCACATTGAGCATATCCATCTTTTGGCCAAAGTGTTTGTAATTTGCAGCTATGACCCAGCACTGCAATAAAATATGCTATTTATAGAGAATAGAGTAGTGGAGTGGGTTGTTAGTATATGAATTAATCCATTAAATTAATATGACTTAAAAACATATGGCTGAATTAATTGATATTTCTAATAAATTAAACCTCTAGTCAAAAAAGGCGTGCTAAACAAACTTTGGACGTAATCTTTAAGTTTCATATCAAACTAGATTCACTAAATCTTCTCCTTTCATTAAAAATATATTCATTAAAAGAAAAATATGGAATCTTTAAAGGTCCTATATGGGACCGAACATTTTGGCTCTCGTATTTTATACATAAAATTATAAAAATGTATATTATGAAGGCAAATATTTTGTTGAAAGTCTTTTTTTTTTATCAATTTATGTTAATAGTCTTTGTTTATTATTTTTTTTTATCAATTTATAATAGTGAAACCGATTTTTTAATTAACACAAAGTATTTTTTTAAGAGGTAAACTAATTAGATATAGTTTTTTATAAAATATTGTGGGTTTATGGTAAAAAAAAAAGTGAAAAATTAGTGATCGAAATTGTTAGATTGATAGAACTTTATAAATAGACAAATACACCATAACTTTAAATTTTTCAAAATTTTCATGTAAATAATCAAATAAAAACTCTTAAATTATAATATGAGTATTAGTTTTTATTTTCATTCCTAGTCTTTATGTAAACCATTTTAGTTTTGAAGTTCACATATTTTATTTAAGAATTTATATGTTTTGCCATGATTTTATCTTTTATTATTAAAGTTTTTAATTTATTTACGCTTTTAGTGCATGATTCCTCATTAAAATAACAGAACTTGAATTTCTCTTTTCCAAAATCAAGAGCATTTAATTTATTTATTAACATTATAAAAAAATATGTAAATGATTTTATAAAAAAAAATCGTCACATTTTACAAACATTATAAAATTTAAAAACTATTAATTATATAAATTTTTTTATTTTTAGATAAGATGCAATGAATTAAAAAATCACAAATGGAAAGAAGAGATAATTATTAATTGAGGAGCCATTGATTTATTTTGGAAAATATATCTAAAAAGATCCACACAACATAGTATATATAAAAATAAATCTTAATGTTCTTGGGGAGCGATGCGTCCTCTAACTCTCACATAGCTCTGCCACTGTTCCTGGCTATACTTTGGATTTCGAATAAGAATAAAATCTTGTGCATCTTTTATATAATGTTGTTGGTTATGATTTAAGAAAATCTTATTATTAAGATCATGATAGCTATAATTTCATTTGTTAAGTCAAAAAGCTCTCAATCAAACAATCAATCAATCAACTACACAAGAGATATCAATTTAATTTAGTTCATCCTAATCAGCCTACATCCACGAAGAAGAAAAAGAGATTATATAGTTATAGAGAATTACAAACATACAATTATATCAATCAAAACTCACAATAATTACACATTGACTCTTTTATTCTTCTCTAGTCCTATAGAATATTTTTAGTCCAAACAAATACATACCAATATGATTTACCATACTTATTTGGACCTTCTTATTCTCATCTTGTTCACTCAAACATACACTCCTAACCCTTCTAATCTTTTCTAGTTCTATGGGGTCTCTATTAATAAAACCTTGCAAGCCTCTTATATTTTTTTTCTCATATCTAACTCTATAAAGACTTCACCTATTTATAAGTATACTAACTTATCTATTAAGAATCCATTTCCTTTTAAAATTCTCTTTTTTTATAAGTTTTTCTTATCCATCAAATAATATTTACCTAATCCTACCTTGAATAAATCTCTATCCACATCTCCTATAGGATTTGAGTTATTATTACTAACACTTACCAGGGTCTAATTTTTAAGACAAAAGGATTTTAACCCTTGATATCTCTAGTAAGAGTAGGAATATGTGACACAAAGAAGAAAGTTTTGATAATTAGGTAAGTTAAAATTAATCCTATATAAGTGTGTAAAAAGTAAAGATAAAATATCGAAAGATAATGATAAAGTATTGAAAGGACAAGAAAAAGTACTTGAAAAATTAAGATAAATGTAATAGCATATGGATTGTAGTTCTTAAAAGTTATTTTATATTATTTTAACTCATATTTATACAATCAAATTGAATCCTAATTATTTGGTGGCTAAAATTGCTACTATCCTCTTCCTTGCCTTCACCATTAAAAAAACAATCCCCAAGCTACTCTCCACTCCATGCAACTGCCAGTTGATTTTAGCTATAACCACTTCTGAATCTTATACCTTTAAGCCAAAATACTTTAGCTAACAACTTATAACTGTCCTTGATAAAGATTAAAATATCTTTGCCATTTACTGAATTTGCTTTAGCATAATCCCACTTAGCAATGTGTTAGGATATTAAGAAATTAACCATATTGAATTTTTCTTAATCCCTTGATTATGGTCTTATTTGAATCAAATTTTTGAATTATCGCAAAGCACTAATTACTTATAACTAACCAAGTTTGTCACTTTATTAGATTTTCTCTACTAAGGCCTAACTTAGTATTGTTGTTAAAAGTAGCTTTTGAGTTCCAAAGCTATTTTTAACCCAACCTTAATGCTAAACAATAAAAAAAATGACTTTTCAGTTTAAACTTTTTATTTTGCAACCCAATCCAAAAAACTACTTAAGAGGTTTTTTTGCTAAAAAGCACTTTTAGGGATAAAAAAAATACTATATTATCCTATTTTTTAATATTTTATTATTTTATGCATTATTTTAAGATATTTCAATTACATACAACATTTTTGAACAACAATACTAAACACTTTAAATTTTTAACCACAATTTTCTTATCAAACTTTTTAAATCTAACTTCCAAACCCAAACCTTTTCTTGTTGCAACAACTATGGGTGTAAATGATACATTAGTACTTGCAAGCTATTAGGGTTTGATTCGAATAAAACTCAAATTCGGTTCGATTATTATCGAGTCAAGCTCGAGCTCAAGTAGCTTGACTTATTAATCGAGCTGAGTTTGAGCATTTTTATACCTGACTCGAGTAGCTCGCGAGCCTAATCGAGCAAGCTTAAGTAGCTCAATTTTTATTTTGAGTTGAGCTCGAGTTAGAAAAATAAAACTCAATCGAGTTCGAGTCGAGTTTTGAGTCTCAAATTTTGAATCGAGCTCGAGCTCGAGCTTAATACTATATCGGCTCGAACTCAATCGATTACACCTCTAGCAACAGCAATACTAAATTATGTAACAAAACTAACCATTATAGAATGCCTATCACATTAATGAAAATTATGGATATCCATATATATATATATACATATATATGTATATATTAATATGACAAATTCATTGATATGTTATTGTCTTATAGATTTAATCTATAATTGATCTTATCTAAAACTCATATTAAGGAGTACTTGCGCAAAACGTAAACATATTAGTTGAAAGATTATATTACCTAGGAGTGTATTTTATATTTTACATGTTTTATTGCAATCGTTACATATATTTAGGTTATTTTAGATTATTTAGGTTATTTAATAATTTAGCATTTTGAGTTCTTTTCAAATATTAGGTTTTTTTTTGTTACTATTAGTATCTTGCAAGATTTTGGGTTTAGTTATAAATACTTAGTTACTTTAGTTTCAATTGGGTTTTTAATATTAAATATTTGAGTTATTTTGGTATTGAGATTTCTCCTCTATTAATTTCGTCTATTTTTTCCCTAAGATTTTTGTTTCTCCCTCGTTCAATTTCCTTTGTTTCTTTCTAATCGCTTCAAGCAAGATGGGTTAAGTGTGAAATGCATTGGGTGTGTTGTGTGATCGCAACATGCTTTTAAAGTTAAAAGCAAAATTATATAAAATAACTATAAGGCCTACATTACTATATAGAACTAAGTGTTGAGCTATTAAGAAAAAACATGAAAAGAAAATGAGTGTAACTATAATGAGGATGCTTAGATAGATGTGTAGTAAGACTAGAAGAGACAAAATTAAAAATGAAAAGATTTGAGAAAAATTAAGAATATTTCGAATTGATGAAAAAAATAAGAAAGGTTCATTTGAGAACATAGGCGTATTTGTACACTAGTTAGGAGAAATGAATTTGTAGATTTAGGAGAGATTAAAACTTCTAGAGGTAGATCACGAAAGACATAGATGTAAGTATTAAAAAAATGATATAGCCATTAAGAAAGTAGATTAAAAGGTGATAGTTGACAAAAAAGAGTAGTGTAAGAAGATTCAAAACTACGATCTAATATGATTCCCTTTATTGGCCTTTAGTATAGCAAACTCCAAAGTTATGAGATATAAAACTTAATTTTTTGTTATTGTTATTATTGCTTTTATTCATTTATCAATTTCTCCATTTATTTCGATATTTTACTTATCTCTCTACTCATCGAAAAGCACAAACTTTTTATTTTAAAGATCATTTTTTAGCTTCCATGGTATTGCCTAATTGAAGAAATTACGTACATTTTTATGAAAAAAGATGTCAATGGATAAGACATAGACATATAGAACATTCTCCATCCTTATCCCTAGTTTTTTATATTGTACAAATTCTTGTACCTATACCCAACAGGTATTTCAAATTCATTTCTATTCCCATCTCTGTGGATAATTCCCATGCCCATGAAATTTTTAAAAAAATAAAAAATATTTTTTAGCTTTTTTATTTTTATCTTGCACATTTAAATAAATTTTTTTATAAATATGTATTTTTTAAGTACAAATATATTAATTTTAATAAATCTAAAATAAATTTTATACTATTAAATATATAGGGTATAATTACGAATATAGTATGGGTATCATATTACTCATCTCCGTACTTGTATCCAACAAAAAATTTAAAACTATACTCATTACTATTTTTATTTTCAAAATTTAATACCCATCTATATTAAGATAAAAAAATAAAATTTTGCATCATGTTTGGATAAAATTTACATTCTTACATATAAAACCACGTGTTTAATGTTACAAAGCTATAATTTCG